CCCCCCCCGCCCATTTGGTATCACGAGTGATTGTAGACAAAGACAGTGACCTGCTTCGATGCGACTCTTGCACATGGGCCAAGGCTCAGGGCCTTCTGCATCTATCTAGAGTTCAAACGCCTAGGAGCAAGCGGGCAAGATTTCGCCGAAAACGAGAGCGTCACAACCCTACCTTCCGCGAATTATGTAACGAGCACCAACGAAAAGGCAAAGGTTTGTCGACCATTCGCGCAATCTGTGTGGGATGGAGGCGCAAGCGCAAACAAGAGCAGGTAAGGCGACAACTCGAAAACCACTGCCTCTGTCGCCGTCGGGAACGTTGAGACGTCGGGGGACGAGTACACGGTGCTTCTGCGACCTCCTCGGGGCAAGGGCAGCAACGGGGACCTATCGCCAAAAACCGACCACCTTCGTTTCCATCTCCCCACGCTCACCGGTTGGCGATGAAAGCGGGAGGGTCCATCCGAATGTCGCTCACTAGAACGGACTTCTCCGCGGTCGCTCCTGCACCCGCCCCGCCGCCGCCGCTGCCGCCGGTGGCACCAGCGGCAGCGCTAGCGTCTTCCACTCCCGGGAAGGCTACGGTCTGCGGCAGCTTGTTTAGCTCCTCGACGGTGAGCTGAGAGGTGGGGGTCGCCTCGAACTCAAGGAGGCGTTTGCGGACGGTGGCGTCGCAAACCTTGACGGCCTGGCGGAAAAGGAAGCAAGCAGCCAACAGATCGGCCACAACCACCGGGGGAGAAAGCACCGAAGCAGCAACGACAAACAACGACGACTTAGACATCGACAACGATACATAGCGAAGGCAAAAATGTTAAATTCTTCGGCCACAGAAACAAATGTGTTCTCTGCACGAGAGAGGTCATTCTCGACGCCATGCACGAGGCAGGGTTCTCTGATTAGAGCAGTGAAAGGCACCATGGCACGGCACTCCTGATGTTCCAAACAGAAACGATGTTTGACGTGTTTTCGGCATGCAGTGCCAGCTTCAGGCCTCAAAAGCAACATGCTGTATTTATGCGGAGATTCAACAAGATTTGAAGCACAGATTGTCCCCGCACGCATCCTCCTTGTACTGAAAAACTCCTGCCGCGCACAGCTCGTCACGGGGTTACCTGCAATCGCCAAGTCGCTGCTGCAACACAAACCCACAGACGGGTTCTCTCTCGCCGAATCTGATCCAGTCGTTCTACGTCAACGTTTGCCGACAAACCTCACAAACTAAAAAGATAGCCCATCATCTTGGCCTCAAGCAGATACGAATGCGCAGCCAAAGACAAAACGCGAGGACAACGAAAAATAGACCCAGAACCGAAGCCCCCCATAGTTAACCCGACCTTTCGGATCTCCTCTTTGGATCTCTCGATGCGGTTGACTCGCGTGGCCAGGGTGAGGGCCGCGCAGCAGATGCCCGCCGGCTGACGACCCGAGGCGAGGAAGTCCCTCTTCATCGAACCGATTATCTGGTAAATGAAAAAGATTGGTTGATCCTCGTGTTTGGGTTTTGCTTCCCTCCCCTTCCGATTCTCACGCGATTTCTAAACGACGGGGCTCTTGCGCTACTATGCGGCACGATATGGCCCGCGACGGGTGCGCAGATCGCCACCGCTGTCTAAATAGTCTACACTGCGTACTATAACCCCCCAACAAGCTGCACAGCCCAACCACCGTGGTGTATCAGAGAGCGGGCTTGATCTACCGCGAAGCACAGGACGAGGTGGAGGAGGGCGCGCGCACAGGTTTGTTGTCCACCGAATAGAAGGAACCCAGAGAGTGGGTGCTACCGCGCCGTGGCATGAGCGTGACACGAAGCACACGAGAGAAGACACGACCTGCGGCTACTGGGAGATGTACCTTCAGAGCAGTCATGCACACCGCGTTCGTCTTGCTGCCAAGGTCCAACTTCGCCGCGAAGCGCTTGATGTACATCGCGGGATCTACGATGGGGACCTGGGTCTGCAGATTGAGGTGCTTGATCAGCTTCTGGAAAGTCTGCACATGCAGACGTCCAATTTGCGCGCGTAAGACACGGGCGAGCAAAAAAGGGTTCAGAACGAAGCAAAGGCGGCATGAGAGAGCACAGGTGGGAAAGGTACGCGGCGCATGATAATGGAGGGCGAGGGGCGCACGCGGGGGGGGGGGGGGGGGGGGGGAAAAAGCCGTTTCNCAAATCCCAAGGTCACATGAGGTTTGCGTGTTTCTGCGTAAATACAAACGAAATGTACATATGCGTACTCGCGTTGACGTCCATTCCTGCTGTTGTTGAGGCAAGCGCAAGGGGCGGGTCCTGATTTCCCACCACCGTGCGAGAACTCGTCAATGCGGTTCAGCTCTCAACAAAACGCAATAAAAAAACAAGAGGAAGCGACGACAGTGGCACGAGAGCAAGTCACCGCTCGTGGAAACAGTTGTTCCTGTCCCTCCTCTCTACTCCAAAACATCCTGAGGTAAACCTTCTCTCTGCGATTCTGACAACAAGCGGGCTGCTTCCATAATCCTGCTGGCGGGAGCCCTGCCCATTGCTTCGCGGCATATTGGGGCATGGACATGAAAGTGAACAGAAACGATCAATCTTCCCTGTTTTCGAGGGGGAGGGGGGGGGGGG